CGGACGTGGCCACTGCCCCCGCGGTCTCACCTGGCGATGTCGGCGTAGCCGTCGCTGCAGGCCATGTGCAGCGGTGTCCAGCCGTTCTCGTCCCTCTGGTGGATGTCGGCGCCGTATCGCACCAGGAGCTTGACGCAGTCCAGGTTCCCGGTGAGCACAGCTTCGTGCAGGGCTGCCATGCCTGCAGGGGAAGGGTTCGTTACCCCTGCGCCGCGGACGAGCCTCTCCATGCCGAGCTCACTGAGTCCACAGCCAGGGAAGAGGCTGCCAGCAAGCCCTCCTCATCAGGGAGATGGGTTTGGGGAGAGAAACAAAGGCTGAGGGAGCAAGAGGAGCAGGTTCCTGTTCTTCTGCAGCACAAATATGCCCCCCGATGGGGCCAGCTCCTGTGGAGCCTCTGACCAGCAGCCTGCCCTGAGCCCCGGCCACGTGGGCACTCGAGGGGGTTGTCTCTGGGGTCCTGCTGTGTCCAAGTTTTGGAAGCTCCTTATGGAGCAATGGCTGGAGCCCTTGGTATGGGTAAGAGGAAGCCCAGGGCCATTTGAGACTCTGTCCCTGTGGGCGCGTGACAGCGGGAGCTGAAGCCAAGCACACGAAAGGGGCAGATCTGGGCTCCGCACCAGCCTGTGCAGATCGAGGCATTCCCTGAGCAGTTGCAAGGCTGGGTGCAAGCAGGACACGACACCTTCCCCACCAACCTAAACACCACGAGTCCACGGAACCGGAGACGCGGGAGAGACCAGCAGACAGAACGGAGCCAGGAGCAAAACACAGAGCCTTGCTTCTCCCTGCTTGTCCCCCAGCCAGGGCAGAAGGCAGGAGCCCCGTCCTGCCCAGAGCTCCACAGCCCAGCCCAGCCGCCTGCTCCTGTCCCAGGTCCCCGTGCAGGGACATCGTGGTGCCCTGAAGGGCCCTGGGGGGAGCTCCCCCTGCCCCACAGTGTGTGCTGGCCATGCCATGGAGGGGGATGCTGGGGCTCTGCTGGGCAGCGCTGGGGGCTCCGCTCCTCACCGGGGAGGACTCGGTTGCACCCTGCTGCCGGCTGAAGGCAGCCCCGTCCC